GTTGCGCCTGCCGCACTCACTGCTGGCCGGCTTCCCCGTCTGCCCCAAGCTGGCCACTGAGTTTGCTGCGCCTCACCACTGCCTCTTCCGCTGGTTCTGCGAGCGGCCGCCCGGCGCCAACGGGGCCCAGCCCGCCTGGGTGGACGTCGAGGGCGGCGACCAGCAGGTCTTTGTGCCCGGCAATGCTCACGTGGGGCAGCGCCTCAAGCTGCACTGCACGCCCTGTGATGGGCTGCAGCGCTATGGTGTCCCCCGCGAGGTTGAGAGCGTGGGGTCTGTGGAGGCGGGGCCTGGCGCCTGCACTTTTGATGCGCGACACCTGTACACACGGCGGTTGGCGCCCACTGGGACCCTCCGCGCTGTGTCTTACAACGTGCTGGCTGACACCTACGCGCAGACCGAGTTCTCGCGCACCGTGCTCTTCCCCTACTGTGCTCCTTACGCCCTGGAGCTCGACTACCGCCAGAGCCTACTGCACAAGGAGCTGGCTGGCTATCATGCTGACCTCGTGTGCCTGCAGGAGGTGGACCAAGCCGTCTTCACAGACAGCTTGGGGCCAGCCCTGGAGGCTTTCGGCCTCAAGGGGCTCTTCAAGATCAAGGAGAAGCAACACGAAGGCCTTGCCACCTTCTACCGCCAGGACAAGCTCCAACTGCTGAGCCAGCATGACCTCACCTTTAGTCAGGCCCTGCAGGAGGACCCGCTGCACCAGGATCTGCAGGACAAGCTGGCCACCTACCCCATGGTGCAGGAGAAGGTGCTGCAGAGGTCCACTGTGCTGCAGGTAGTGTCTGCAGCCAGGTCAGCCCCTGGAACAGGGTGGCAAGCCTGGCAGTGGCATTGTGGGTGTTGGGAAGCAGGGCTCTGTTCAGCTGAGGTGGGAACATGGCCACTATGGAGTGCAGGATTCTCATTAGGGCAGCAGGTGGCTCCTGGGCAAGACAGAAGGGCAGAGCAGGAGCCAACAAGAGCACGTGCAGGAGCAGATTGGTGAGGGTGTGGATTGTGAGGGAGCACTTTGCACAGTGCAGTGTATGTGGCTGCCTGCTGGCTGTTCAAAGCACGAAATGCATTTTGACTTCATTTGCTGAAGTTCTGGGATGGGTTTAACAGTCTGTCTCTGCCATTTACTTGCATCTGACTGGCCTGATAGCACAGGCAGCCTCTGTATGTGGTGAGCACACCGCAGATTGTGGAGGGGACAGGGAACAGAAAGAGCAGCAGATCAGGGAGAGGAAGGGGATCAGAGTGGCACTTGGAGAAAGTGTGGGGCAAATTTGTGTCACACCTGCCAGAAAGGTTGGCTTGGCCCCTACTGCTCTGGAATAAGGACTTGAAATTGACGGGGTTATGTTTTTCCTGTATCAAACATCCACATCAATGTAATTTCTTTACTGTGACTTCAAACCATCTTAAAGTGAACTTCTAACCTAAATTAGGTTAAGACTGGATGTTTGATGGTCACACTTTCTAAAATGCCTGGTATGAGCCTAAATTAAAATTAAAATGACAAACTAGTAAACATTATGGTTTGGGACAGGGGACGGGTGGCAGTCTGTCACTCCTTTTAGCACAGGGGTGGGCAAATTATAGCTCACAGGTCAGATCTGACCTGCCAGGTCCTCTCATCTGGCTCACAGCACCCAGCAATGAATTGCACCCCACCCAGCCCTTCTGCCCACGAGGGTGGAAGCGAGGTGCCCACATACAACCCCCAAACATATCCTACTGCACTTTGTTCACGCCCTTGTGGGTGGAAGGGCCTGGCCATCACACAGCTGTAGCTCCCGGAGACCTGCTCTACTTCCCCTGCCTCCCAGTTGCTCCAGGTAGCAGGTAGGGAAGTGGCAGGAACGGGGTCTGAGCTGCATCTGGGTAGGAGCACAGAGCCTGAGCCTAGGGGGGCAGTGGCAGCAAGGAGCTCAGGTGCGCAGCAAACCCAAATCATGACAAAAATATTTTTTGTAATAAAATTAAAATGTTGTAGTAGGTATTTGACTTTTAGGGTATGATGTGGCTTTTTTCTGGTTCTAAGATGGCAACCCCTCCTCCCAAAAGGAGTATTTCCAGGGGGCAAGGGGAAAGGGTTAGGGGGTGGGACTTCCAGTCCCAAGATGGGGGTCGGGCAACTGTCAAGGGGCAGGGCTACCATGCAGCCTTCGACAGCTCACCAAAACTTGTTAAGCGGCTCTCCACCTGAAATAATTGCCTATGCCTGTTTTAGCAGTACTAGAGACAGTAAGTGGCAATCCTACTTCTTAACTTTGGTCTTATTTTTCACATCCTCTGTTTCCAGTTGAGTGCAAGTATAAGTATTTCCACAGTCAAAACCTTAGTTTGGTGTTCTAGTAACTGTGGTAATGAAAGCCTTGTTTACAAGGCTTGAAAAAGCCACTCATCTAGAGATAGTGTGACTAGTAAACTTTCTCTTGTGGGTGACACTATTTTAATAAGTGCTCGGATCAACTTCTCAAATACAGACTAGTGCAATACTGGCTTTTTCAGAGTGCAAAGAAAGGACTCCACTGTTCTTGCAAGGTGGGGCGGGACAAAAGACTGGAAAGGAACAAACAAATGAAGAGTTGGGGAGAACACTGTAACAAGATCTCTTGCAGATGATTCATTTTTTTAAATTGCATTAAAATGCTTTGGCTTGTGTTTTTACATAAATCTTTTGGAGGTCTGCTAGTTTTATTCTGATTTTAATACTTTGTATAAGAGCATTCATTGTCTTATGTAGGTTTCAGTTCTTCAGTCTACAAATGAGCCTTCCAGGAAGATTTGCGTAGCCAACACTCACTTGTACTGGCATCCAACAGGTAATTTTGCTACTGTAGCCATAACTATATAATCAGGTCAGCTAAACTTTTCTAGTCCTGATCCTGTCTCTCCAACTCTCATTATTGGAAGCAAGGGCTTTCGTAGCTTGTTTCTTCTCAGAAGGAACGCACAACTAATGTGCCAGCATACAGGGGATTGTGTCATAGTGAGAATCTGCCTGGTCATGTTTAGCATGCAGCTCTTACAGGCAAGCCCCTCATAGTTTCATAGATGTTAGGGTCGGAAGGGACCTCAATAGATCATCGAGTCCGACCCCCTGTATAGGCAGGAGAGTGTGCTGGGTTTAGATGACCCCAGCTAGATGCCTATCTAACCTCCTCTTGAAGACCCCCAGGGTAGGGGAGAGCACCATCTCCCTTGGGAGCCCATTCCAGACCTTGACCACTCTAGCTGTGAAGAAGTTCTTCCTAATGTCTAGTCTAAATCTGCTCTCTGCTTGCTTGTGGCCATTATTTCTTGTAACCCCCGGGGGCGCCTTGGTGAATAAAACCTCACCAATTCTCTTCTGTGCCCCCGTGATGAACTCAAACCATGATTTGTTAATGTAGCTGGAGTCACAGAATATAGCATCCCCATCCTCATTGGAATTGGTAAGGTTGCATTGTGGGGTAGGTAGCCAAGCAGAAGGGTCAAGTGTCAGGCTCAGGAGAGGTGCCCTGATCTCCAGATGTTTCTAGAGGGCATGGGGTGGAAAGGAGCCATTTGGATGGCTATGAAGCAGAGTGATTTGGAGCCAGGGGACTGATGGAGAAAGTGTGAAAGAAGCCTCTTCTCAAGCAAGCTTCATTCCCATTTAAAGGAAAACAGGGAGAGGGTGTATTTAAATGTTCCTAGTCCCCTCAATCACGGATCAGGCTTAAAAAGTCTTGCCCTAGTCATAACATTTATTGAAGGTTGTCCTGAATGATTTCATGTGTAGGCAAGCCTTAAATTAGCTTCTTAAGAGAGAAATCCTTTGAAACTACTGAACAAAGTATACAAGTAACGTGTCTTTATGTTCTTAGGTGGAAACATTCGTCTCATCCAAGCTGCTGTAGCCTTATCTCACATTAGGCACATAGCATGTGAGCTGTATCCTGGTATACCAATCATATTCTGTGGGGATTTTAACAGTACCCCATCAAGTGGACTGTATCGTTTTGTTAGCAGCGGCAATATTGATGAAAATCATGAAGATTGGGTTTCTAATGGCGAAGAAGAAAAGTGCAGTATGTCTTTAACCCACCCTTTCAAACTACAAAGTGCTTGTGGAGAACCTGCATATACAAACTATGTTGGTGGGTTTCACGGCTGCCTGGACTACATTTTCATTGATGCACATGCTCTAGAGGTAGAACAAGTAATTCCATTGCCAAGTCATGAAGAAGTTACTACCCATCAGGCCTTGCCAAGTGTTTCACATCCTTCTGATCATATAGCACTAATATGTGATTTAAAGTGGAAGTAAAATAGTACTGACAGCTCTTTCCCTGTCCTTTTAAGCAAGAAATTAATTTACTTTAGTGGAACTTGTACCAAGCTTGAATGCAACAAAAAGAAAAGCGGGAGCAACTACTGGAAAGTTCACGTGCTTTATCAGCTCCAATATAAACTCCTTGTTGAGCATTTTGTCTGACTAGTCATAACATTTGCATGACAACTTTTTATAACTAGGAGCAAACATTTAAGACAGGTGGGGGGAGGAAACATTCAAGACAGATTAGGTGGTGCTATATAAGATGATTTTTTGTGTATTAATTTTTTTTTAAAACCATAAACTAGTCTGATTTATAAAGTACACATAAAGCAAATGGACAATGCAGAACTAGTTGGGGAGGAGGGGGAATAAGCAAATGGCATGAATCCAATTTGTTATGCCCATTGTCATCACAAGACATAGCTCCATTTTCTAACAAATCTAAAATACAAATAGCTTCATTCATTTGCCATTCCTGATGCATCTTTCAAGCAAGTAGCCTGTTCAGTGCATTTATATCCACTAGCACCTGACACGTTTTAAGCTAGTTACCATCTGAACAGAGTTGTACAGATAAAGAGCCATCCAGCTTAAATATAAAAGTAAAATTAAAATTTTTAAATGAAAATGTTTTAACTTCCTCTGCTCAGTTCTTAGTGTGCCTGTAGTAACTGAAAAGTAGCTTTTTGAACTTCTAAAAAGTATCTAGATTTAAAAAAAATCCCACCCATTATAACAAACCAAAATCAAGTATAATGAATAAACAATGTTTTATGTTTGAGCAGTTAGCCTTGAACACAGTTTCAGCAGGGATAAGTCTCTAACCATCTAACATGCTATTTTTTAACTGTAGAGAAGATGATCGGAATTCAGATAATCTATATTTCCAAGCAGGGGAGGGAGTGGGTAGAGAGAGAAGAAAACAGTTAATGAGAAGAGCTAGTTGTAGGTATCATGCTTTGAAGAGAAACAGGGACCTTGCAACAAATTCAACTTCAGAAAATTCTGCATTTTGCTTCTTTGTGTATCTTACATATATATTTGATTTAGGACAGAGTCTAGTTCCCCCCCGCATGCTTTTTTTTTTTAACTGGAGGACATGTGGGGTGTTGGAAAAAATGTATATTATCATGTTTGAATTGGAAAGGTGGGTGTTAAATCACTTATGAAGGCTTCATTCCTCTTACAAAGACAAATTTTAAACAGTTTTCCTGAAGTTTTCTATTCTAGTCAATAAATGTTCTTATTAATTCCTGTAATTGACACTGGTATCATCTTACTGTTTCCTGTTATTGGTGTACTCTGGGGAAAGAAGCCCCAAGTTTGTGTCTCTGTCTCTCACTCACACACACACACACACACACACACACACACACACACACACACACACACACACACACACACACACACACTCCTATTCTAAAGAAGCAAAAATAACACCTATGCTGTTAATGGTGCAATAAATGCATTAAGATAAACTTTCTGAGGCTACTACAATTAAACTTAAAAATTAATAGAAAACACATTGATGCTCAGGCAAGGCGATATAAAAACAACTCTGCCCTTATATTTTCTTCAAGGAAAACTGAAAACTAGAAACTAATTTTATATTCTCACACTGAATTTAGCTAACTGCTGTACTGATAGAACTTAGGGGTCTCTGAACACAAATATAAATACACAGTACATTCCTATTCAGCCAGAATTGAAGCTTAAACTATCAACTGCTAACTATGTGAATAAATGTTAAGTGTCAAAGTAATCCTATTGCCATTCTCCTAGGCATCAAACTGCCTTCTAGAGCAGGGGTTTTCAACCTTTTTGGATCGGTGTACCCCTGGTGGTGGGGGGTTGACAACCCCCAGTTCTAGACTAAGCGGATCTGTCCTGAGAGGAGAGTCTGAAGCTATTATCTGTATGGTGGTGGAGAAAGAGCAGACTAGAAAAGCCTGGGAGGAGAATCCTTCCAGGGCTAAGACCCCACTACAGCTACAATTCCATTTTGCTGAACACTGCCAACATAGGGCATTCCCTTTTAGGGCTAGTGCTAGTCTGGGGTGTATAAAGCACAAAAGCAGATATTGTTAGATCAGGCAGCTTTCATGTTGTGCCTCTCGGGCCCAATGATGTCAGAAGAGACTTTACGAAACTCCTTAGCTGAAAAGAACAGATTCTTTGCAGAGGGTTTAAGATGGCAAGCTGGCATTCACACCTATGGGTTGGACCACAGAGGGAGGGTGGTGGGAAGTTATGGGTTAATGGTAAGATTTTTACCATTTACCAGGTTTTAAGTGAAAATCCATATGTAAGGAATCCCATCAGATTAATATAGCAACAATGAATGCAACATGAAACTATTAAGATGAGCACATAATTGACTCAGGGGCGGGGGGGTGGTGTGGAAATACAGTAATTTTTCTTTTCTTTCAATTCTTGCTATTTTTACTTTTGTATCTTGTTTAGACAAAGATCTCTTAAAACATTTTTGAGAGACTTTTTCATGCTGAAAAATAAGTGATGTATGTACATACAAACTGCATTCCACCTACTGTGTATCCAGTCCTCGCGTGGAAGGTATTTTTATTAAATAGAACTTGTGACGAAGAGTCTTAAATCAGTTTTGTATATTTTGCCTATAGATGGAAGGAAATCTAGTGTATATGTAAATCTAGTGTTTCTGTATGTGTGTCTAGTGTACTGCTCCTAGCCTTTGCCTTCTTCGAGCATAGACTGATGAGTGGAAATTGTGCTGTAAACCTTTGGGGTACATAATACTAAAGTTATACCTGCCAACAAGACAGTTTTTCTTCTGAAACAAGCCACCATTCTGAAGAACTGTACTATGTGGTTACACTTGGGCAAGAAATCCTGATAAAGAATAATAGCACTTGTTTCTGTCCATTACAGCAGGACGTTATGAAAGCAGCAGCTTATTGTAGCAGTACGAGATAAGCAGTTGCAAGCGTTCTGCTTCTTAACAGAAGTAAGGTAGTTTTTAAAGTCAGTGATGCAACAAACAAAAAGAATCATTTATGGAAGGCATCATATTGTGGCTTTCAGGTCATTATGGAAGTACTATTGAAGTTGCTTTAATTATAATTTATTAATATTTAATTGACTTTTATGCTTCCATGTTCTGGAGTGACTTTTTTTCTAAACTTTTTAAAAATTTATTATTTTTAAGAAAAGATACTTGAATGAAAAACCCTAACTCTTGGTTAACAGAGGCTTTTGCCTAGACACTATTTTTATGTGATGTTCCTCATGTACATCTTTAAAAAGTGGATTGTGATTGGACAGCACTATTAGAATCACCAAAATAAAATCCCAATCTTGAAAATTCACTGCTAGGACATTCCTAGACCTCTGTGGATTCCCTTGAGATTGAGTAGTACTGTGTGGTACTGAGGTTTATATTCTGACACTATCTTGAGTTTCAACTTAAACTGATGCCCATGGGATTACACATTAGGCACAGGAGTCTGCCTGCGCATATATTCTGACCCTTCTAGCCACAGACCAAAGTCTTGTCATGTCTGAGAGCTGCAAGCACAAGGCTCCCAAGATATACAGGCCCCAGAGTAAGTGACCTGATAACCAAATAAGAGTTGGTTGATCAATGCCTCCTTAGGAAAAGTAAAGAGCCAAAAGGGAAGAAATCCAAAAGTGGAAAACAGAGTAAAAGAACGTGTTTATTTAACTATGCCTCATTCTCTAGGAGCCACATGCAGTTTGTGAGCTGGAATTTGCCCACCCCAGTGTATACAAAGGATCAGAATCCAGATCGGAATCAGTTGAGGCTAAGAATCTGGACAAATTAAAAATTACACTGAATTAAAATGGGGAATGGGCTCATTGTGCATCCCCCACCCCTAGAGTTAATTATGTGGTTTAGCTTTCATTTATTGTGCAGGAGAAGCAGCACACGATACCATGCACCAGCTGTGTATCATCCACTTGTGGTATGTCCCCACCCCCCATTTTACCTTTGTCTGTACACTCAGTAATATAGAGAGGTTATTCTAGAACTGAATGGCTTTGGATTTTCAAAGACATCTAGTATTGTGCTAAGTCTGTGGATCTTAAGAAACCTACTTATCGGAGCTACAGAAGTCTTCGTAAGTTTACTGGCTCTAGACATCGAATTGTTGGGTCTGAAGTCTAAACATGACTCTACTCTCTATACACATATTTTAATGGATGACTTGGGAGGCCATTAATATATTCTCAGATAACTGCATTGATTCTAGAATAGGGGGAGGCACTCAGCAAGGCCAGCTCAACAAAATGAACCTGGAGGACTTAGATAAAATAATTCTGTCCTGGGGAGATTAGCGGTAAGAACTGGGAGGTAAAAAATCAACATCTAAATCCTTTTATATTATATATCTGTGTGTGCATGCGTGCCCACACGCGCACACACTACCCAGGTCTCAAATTCCTTATCTTATTTTTTTTCTTGTCTCAAAGCTTCCACATAATTTTTACATCTTTAAAATTGTTAAGTCCCATAACATCAATGCACTGCCTCCATTTTTCTATTTAACACTTCTACTATTACAAGTATTACAACTATTACTACCTGGTTCTCATGGGGGACTTCAATCACTTTGACACCCTGACACCTGCTGGGAGGGCAATATAGCAGTGCACAGGCAATCCAGGAAGTTTTTGGAGAATGCTGCAGACAACTTCCTGGTGTAAGCGCTGGAGTGGCCTACTAGGGGCCGTGCTCTTCTTGACCTGCTGCTCACAAACGGAACAATTGGTAGGGAACGTAGTAGTGGATAGCGATATGGGCAGCAGTCATCACGAGATGATTTGAGTTCAGGATCCTGAAGGAAGGAAGGATGGAAGGAAGAAGAGCAGCAGAGTAAGGACCCTGGACTTCAGAAAAGCAGACTTCAACTCAGGGAACTGATGGGCAGGATCCCTTGGGAGGCCAGTCTGAGGGGGAAGGAGTTTGGTCATATTTTAAAGAAACCTTACTGAAGGCACAGGAATGAACCATCCCAATGCACAGGAAGACTAGCAAGTATGGCAGAAGATCAGCTTGGCTTAGCAGGGAATTTTTCATTGAGCTAAAAAACAAAAAGGAAGCTTATAAGAAGTGGAAACTTGGACAAATGACTAGGGAGTGGTATAAGAGTATTACTCGAGCATGCCAGGATGAAGTCAGGAAAGCCAAAGCACAATTGGAGTTGCAACCAGGAAGGGTAATAAGTAGGGCTTCTACAAATATGTCAGCAATAGGAGGAAGATCAGGGAAAGTGTGGGTCCCTTACTAAATGGGGGAGGCAACCTAGTGACAGATGATGTGGAAAAGGCTGAAGTACTCAATGTCTTTTTTGCCTCGGTGTTCACAGGCAAGGTCAGCTTCCAGACAACTGCACCTGGCAGCACAGTTTGGGGAGGAGATGAGCAGCCAACAGTGGTGAAAGAGCAGGTTGGGGACTATTTAGAAAAGCAGGATATGTACGAGTCCATGGGGCTTGACGGTGTATCCAAGGGTGCTGAGGGAGTTGGCTGATGTGACTGCAAAGCTACTAGCCATTTTCTCTGAAAACTCACGGCAGCCAGGAGAGGTCCCAGATGATTGAAAAAGGGCATATATAGTGCCCATCCTTAAGCAAGGGAAGGTGGAGGATCCGGCAAACTACAGACTGGCCAGCTTTACCTCAGCCCCTGGAAAAATCATAGAACAGGTCCTGAAGGAATCCATTTCTAAGTACTTAGAGGAAAAGAAGGTGATTAGGAACAGTCAGCATGGATTTACTAAGGGCAAATCATGCCTGACCAACCTAATTGCCTTCTGTGATGAGATAACTACATGGATGCAGGGAGAGCAGTGGATGTGATATACCTTGACTTTAGCAACGCTTTTGATACGGTTTCCCATAAAATTCTTGCCAGCAAGCTTAGGAAGTATAGGTTGGATGAATGGACTGTATGGTGGATAGAAAATAAGGCTCAAAGGATAATAAGTAGTAGCTGTTGGTCTAGCTGGCAGCTGGTATGAAGTGGAGTGTCCCGGGGGTCAGTCCTGAGATTCAGAGACCTTGACAAATTGGAGGTTTGGATCAAAAGAAATGTCATGAGGTTCAATAAGGATAAGTGCAAAGTCCTGCACTTAGAATGGAACAATCCCATGCCCTGCTACAGGCTGGGGACCGACTGGCTGGGCAGGACCTGGGGGTTACAATGGACAATAAGATGGGTATGAGTCAGCAGTGTGCCCTTGTTGCAAAGGCTAACAGCGTAGTGGGCTGCATTAGTAGGAGCATTACCAGCAGATCAAGAGAAGCAATTATACCCCTCTATTCAGCACTGGTGAGGCCACATCTGGAGTACTGTGTCCAGTTTTGGGCCCCCCACTATCGAAAGGATGTGGATAAATTGGAGATAGTCCAGCAGAGGACAACAAAAGTGGTTAGAGGGCTGACTTCTGAGGAGAGGCTGAGGGAACCGAGTTAATTTAGTCTGGAGAAGAGAAGACTGAGAGGAGGGGATTTAATAGCAGCCTTCAACTACCTGAAGGGAGGGTCCAAGGAGGATGGAGCTAGACTGTTCTCGGTGGTGGCAGATGACAGAACAAGGAGCAATGGTCTCAAGTTACAGCAAGGGAAGTTTAGGTTGGATATAAGGAAACACTCTCTCACAAGGAGGGTAGTAAAGCATTGGAACAGGTTACCCAGAGAGGTGCTGGACTCTCCATCCTTGGAGGCTTTTAAGACCTGGCTAGACAAAACTTTGGCTGGGATGATCTAGTTGGGGATAGTCTTGCTTCGAGCAGGTTGTTGGACTAGATGACCTCCTGAGATCCCTTCCAACTCTAATTTTCTATGATTCTATTAGAAAGGCAACCGTCCGGTACAAGTTACTTCATATATTTTGAGACTGTCATTTGATTTACAAAGACTCCTACCATTTCCCTTTGAGGTGGGAATCTAAAACTTTTGGCTCCATTTCCCAATCCCTGGCCAATATTTTTCAAATGATAACAATAATTTTAACCAAGATTTCACTTTGTAATTGTTCTAATATAGGGATGTAGAAGCAGTTAAAAAAGTTATCCATTTAACCTCTAACTATATCAGTTGAAGGGTCAACTGAAAACAGCAGCTGCTAATGGGAGCTGCCCCCTGGGGCCTTTGATGGGGGGAGCAGTCAGAGGCAAACCCCAGCAGACAACACAGCCCATGTGGCAGCAGGTAAGGGGTTCTCAGCAGACACTGGAGGGAGGGAGCATCTGAGAATGAGCAATTGCTTATTTGAGTAGACCACCCATTGAGTAGACCACCGTTTCCCTCTTTAACCTCTGAGGCTATGACGATAGTGAGCAAAATACAGCCCATGGGCCAGATCTGGTCCACCAACTGATTGGATCTGGTCCACCACAGGTGGGCACCTGTCTATTGATTGTATCTGGCTTGCAGCTGCCCCCATGGCACTCACCATGGGACCAAGCCCTGAGCACTCCTGCCTGAGCCTGCCAACAGCTCCAGTCCCAGCCCTGCCTCCAGGCAGTGTGCACAGTTTCCCGGTGGGGCTGCTGCAGCTGTCTGGGTACTGCTTGCCCACCCCTGCCCCCAGGGGGCTGCTCATT